TGTGGATCCTTAGACTGACACTGACATGGAGCGCTTTAACAACATCTGCTCCAAATCCACAGCTGAGACGGCTGTGACTGTTAGAAATTTTCAAGCCAAAGAATTCAGACCGGGACCAGACTGTCAGCTGTTTATTTGCCACGTGAGAATAAATATTGACCTGATATTAGAGATCGTTGACCGTAGATCATTGTTCTTGATAAGATGCTACTAACTAGATAATGCACTGTTGAGTCACTATTTACTTGCATGGTAGTTATCAAGACTGGGTTCTCACCCCCCTAGTCTGTGCTGTGGTCTGCTGATGTGAGCTTTCAAGAAAACTCAGACACTGTTTCTTTGCCACCCAGACATTATTACTTCTGACGACTGAAGAGGAATTAAACAAAAGGTGTTTGAGAACTTTTTTTTCCATACAGCAAGCTTTCAATAGTGGCATTCAGTAACAACTGAGGTGTCTGTAGACATGAGGGTCAAAGCGAAGGAATGACATTGCCTTCTATTTGTGTTTAAATGCCTCATTCATGCATACGCGTGGTAAAAAAACTAAACAAATCACATTGTATACAATCAGCGAGACAAACCAAACAGACACATAAATGCAGTTGGATGCAAATTATTCGAACAACAGCCTTCTGAATGGAAAAGATTAACACTAGCAAACACACTATCCGACAGTAACAGGCTCCAGCATTGACAGACGGCCACACAAACACCCACATTCAGTTGTTCCAACAACAACAGACTCTCAAGCCAATGCTGACAGACCCATGTGAGACCGCAGCTACAAGGTTAACAGACTTCAAAAGCAAACAAAGCCCACCATCCTAGGTTAATTTATTTTCCGACAGACGATTGGCACACACAAATAAACGGTACTTCTGGAAAACAAATATGTGGCAGAAGAGTTTAGTGGGAAGGTGTTGTGATTATTTATCCAACGGTTTCCGTGACCTATCAAACCTGATATAAACGAATAATCACAGGGTACATTTTAATGTAAATTAGCTGTGGAGGAGAAATAAAAAACACGCTTTCAAATCCAATCACTGTTAAATCCTAGTGTAGTGAATGAACTGAGTCAGGTGTTGATATAACACCAGAGAAATATGTCGGATTATATGACACATCAAAGCAGGTACTAAGTGTTTGTATCATCACACTGTTGATGTCAGATTGATTTATCACAATAGACTCTTTGTTTTTTCTAAGCAGCTTCATAAACATTGGTGACCAGACACTATGTAAATATATGTTTTATATATATATATATATATTTCTGCGTCACATTCTCATTCACACCTACAGAGGGAGCCATGTTCACATAGTCAACATTCAATCAGTATCCCTTATTTTTAAAAATTAGCCACAAGTGTAATATAAAGTTTGTTGCAAATAGTTATTATATTTACTTGACTGAGTAAAAAATAATATGCTGTTGTGGACATATTTTCCAGGGCTAACGATAGTATTTCTTTATGTTTTTTATTACATAATAAACTAGTTTTTGACAGATGTTTAGAGTGGTGGTGTGTAGTCCGTCCAGATATCAATGTGCTCATTGCATAGTAATTGAACATGAATATTATACAGCAATATTCATGTTTGTGTCTAGTAACAATAAATATATATTTCATTTATAAGCTATTTGACAGGCAGAGTTTAAGACGCCATGCCCTGCTGATTTAGAATTCACAATTTCATTATTAGATTTAAAAATAAAGTCTTCTCTTGTAACTACCAATTTTAAGTCTCTTCATGCTGCAGCTCAACTTAAAACACGCTGCCATCTAGTGGCTCATAGCTCATAATACAACCAACCGGTATCACATTGACCAAATACTGTCATTGCCGTGTCATACACTGCCCTAATATTTGTAGTAAAACAAAGAAAAACAATATTATGTTTTAATGGTTTGTCAGAGCTCAACACTAAACACACTCAAAAATACATATTTTGGTAATTAAAAAATGTTTGGCTTCAGCTTTCACCAGTTTCATTTCTTAATTGAGTAAAAGATATTTACAAGTCTTTTGCTTGCTTCACTTTTAGGTTACGACATAAATGGAAGGAAACATTGGCACTCCCCTAATAGCAGTGATGGTTATGGTTTTATTTTTTTACAATCAAGGGAAAATGATAAAAGCATTTGGCTTCATGTCAAAGCCAATAAAAGTTAATTTTGCCAGTATCATGTTAGTGATATTACACTTATGCATATTATTAGATATTATGCATATTATCAAATATTCTTAAACTGTGTATATTTACAATACATAATCAAACTGAAGGCATTCAGGTTTAAAATAACTAAAAACAATTTATAAAATAATTACTTGACAGTTAACTGAAGCAAATGACAGTGTACAATGCAGTCAATCAATCATGTTGCCATTAGGCCTGTTCTTGCACCTATAATGTTGTGTCAATATAAATATGGCAATATATAGACATTCCACTACTAGATACAGTACATATACAGTTTAATAAAAGGATATGAAACATTTAATGATTCATCTTAGATTTTTTTTTTCCAAAATTATTTTGTTTTAACCTTCGTGAGGTTATACCATTTATCTCAAGTATAAATACAATAACAGTGTACTGTATGTTTGTCACGGATCACCAAGCTGAAGATGCTAATTTATTTAATCCAATTGTTTGACATGAATTAATGGCCACAGTAGATGAACAGCTATGATGAGTTCAGAGTCAGTTCGTGGCTTTAAAGCACCAGTTATTCAAAGATACAAAAACAAAAATCAAATCAAAATGTTTTTGGAAAGTTTTGTGTGTATCATTTTAACAGTAGCCAATGTCAATGTTTTGCATGAATATCCTTGTCTGTGTCTCTGTATGATTCCTTAAATTAGTTAAATATATAAACAGTATCTCAAATATTTCACTTTCATCTTAAAATTTCCCTTTTAGCCTAACAAAGCCCATTTGGCCAAACTTATTTGGGTTTTTAAAACACGTTGCCCAGACTCAACAGAAGAAACCAATGTCTCCAAAGTTAAATTCCATTGGTCCACCGTCTATAGCTGTTGACAGATGTTTTGACTTTGGTGGACTTTTTCTTTTGACCGTCCAGACTTCCAAAGCTTTGAAGCTTTAACGCTGACCTTGGTCATTGGGAAGGCACGTCTTTTAAAAACACTGAAGCTCTCAGTTTAGCTGGTTTTATGTTCATTTCACCGCTCACACCCTCCACCTCTTGAAGCCCATCATCAAACTGCATCCGTAGCAAAGTGTGACCAGAAAGGAAAATATCTGAGGGGGAAAAAACAATGGGAGGAAATCTTAATCAACCAATAGGGTCACAGACAAAAAAAGTGTTTTGGTGAATGTGTGCAGAAATCATCAGGAATATGGTACAGGTATAATTTTGAAAGGTTTTAACTTTTAGCAAGTAAAAGGTACAGACGTACATTTGTGTGTTAAACTGAGTATAAAATGAGCATTCAATAAAGGCTGGCAAGATTAAGATTACTAGACACTGACCTCTGTACTTATTTGTACAGTACAGAGTGTTTTGTGATTCTGGCCTAATACCTAGCATTGGTGGTGCCAAGGAGAGCCTTTGGGATGCTCTAGCAATCCCTGAAATAAAACAATCCCTGAGTGAAATAGTAACTATATGTCTGTTGAATTGTATTGTGCCCATTTATCAACGTGATGCATTTGTAGTTAAGGATAATAAAATTATTTAAAATACCTATATTTTAATACAGTTAGATCATTTTTGTCCTGGTCATTTTAGTGGTAGCTCTCAGTCCAAAGATGTTGGGCCAACCCTGCTCCCTTGTGTATTTCACTCCAACACAGTAAATACAGTACAGCCCCTAATACGTTTTTCCTGTTATTTATGAAGCCCTCACTACACGAGGACCTCACGGTTACCTGTACACAATGCAGTTTCATTTCATCAGAATTTTCTCCTGTCTTATTTTATGGCTCACTGTATTGTGAACTACGGCATAACCATTTGGTAACTGCTTTACTGTTTTATGGCCTGACCACTGTAACTGATAACAGAGGCCTACAGGCCACAGTCACACTGGACAGGTTTGAAAATCAAGCCTTAATCACTCACAGCTCACTCAGTGCACGAGTCTGATTGCAGTTAAATAAATACAGGATGAACTCACCGTAGCTGCCGCATTAATATTGTATTGGTTGTCACTGAGGACTGTGAATATATTGCCACTGTTGTAGGTTATACACAAGACAGTTTCAGTCTTATTGGTGATGAGGGCTCCTCCATTGGCAGCTGTGGTTGCCGCCTCCAACACAAAGGCAGCAAAGTAAAACAGCAGAGCGAAGAAATGGTAAAACACATCCTGTGAAGAATGAGGGGAAAAAAAGTATAAGTTAACTTTATCCTCAGCAGTAAAACTGTTGTGTGTTATTATAGAGTCCAGTTATAAACTAGATATAATGATGTACAATCACCAGTGGGCCAGCTACTCTCCCTGCGATACTAAAAATAAGCAAAAATTCAGCAAGCTATCTGAAGGTTAGCCAGTAAACAAAATAAATTAAAAAAAAATAACAATGAATAAAAATGGAGCAAATAAATATGTTTCAAAAACAAAACAAACAAGTTTCATTCATTCTACAGACTTATCAGAAGATTTAAAAAATAAAACAAATACAAAAAGCCTAATGAAATTACTTCTGAAGGTTAGTGTAGCAATGATAATAATGATATAAATAAGTAAGTATAAGTATTATCAATGCTTTAAACTTTGTTGTCTTCAGATATAACCCCAAAATCAGGGTTGTTGTTATTACTAGTTGAATTTGCACTTTACAAACACACGATATAGTCAGGACCAAGTGCTGAACATTTCAGTGGCCTGAGAACAAAGTCCAACTGATGTGTGAGTTTTACCCCACTGTGTCATTATCTAACAATAGGTGCACTGCTGTGAAAAAGGTGTCTCCAGCCTCCTACCTGCACCAGAATATTCAAACGACTATTCACACCGTGTCATTCGATGTCAGACCCCTCGACCGTGACTAACACAACAGCCAATGCAAAGAAGAGAAAGAAGACGAGTGAAAGGTTCTAGTGAAAGGGAGGAGGTTCAGGAGTTTTTGGCATAAAACCCAATGAGGCTGATGATTCGACAGTCATGCCGTTGTTATCCTTTGGCGTTAGCTCATCATCTGTTTTGTTTATTGTTCTGACTGAAGACAAACAACCTCCCTCCCTTCTCTCCCGGCAGAAGGAGCCTGAAGACCAAGGATAGGCTGGTTCTGTCTAAATCCAGACTACACACAGAAACCTACACTGTCACACCCAGGAAATGGTGTGACAGTGTGACAGAAGATTTACTTTGAAACTGCAAAAAAGTAAAAGTGTAGTACTTTAACAAGTCCTATTTTCAACCAAAAATGTATTTATTTTTTTGTTACCTCGCTGCAACAACAGTTCATACATTATATATTTACAGCTTACCAAGACGTTCCAGTTAGTGTGAATGCGGTCAGCCAGGCCAGTGATAAAGAGTGTGAGGTAGGCAGAGGACAGGAAGAAGGTAGTGACGGAGACGAACATCACCCAGCCTTGCAGCAGAGGCACAGGCACGTTGGAGGACGCCACTAGGATCCATACTAGACCACCAAATAACTATGGATCAAGAAAAGAAGTCACACAGTTACAGATGCTAATAATGAAGTAGATGCTAATAATGAAGTAGGTCAGTTGGTCAAAAAAGTGAAGTACCCCTGGTTTAAAATGCAAGATGACTGATTTTCTTACATGATAAATAACATATTTTTAGATCAGTTTGGAGATTGGGGTAAAAAGAAACTCCAAACTGACTGACGGTTAGGAATCGATTGATGACATTGATAATATTTTCTATCTTCTAATCTTACTATAAGATAAATAAGTAAAAGTCAATTTGGATAAAAGAGACAGACAAAAATGAAGGGAAGGGGTATACCAAATAATCTAAATAATCATATGGAAATGATCTAATATGTTAATACCAAAATAAAGTTTACGCTTCTGTCACAAATTACAGAATTGTCAGATATGGTAATAAAAAAATGGTATAAACATTTTAAAACATCCTTGACCTAAAATTATGATCCTGTCTACTATTTGTCTTTATATAATTTTGTCCTCAGGATAAATGCCTTGTTTTAAGCTTTGTTTTATTAAATTTGATTGCAACAAATCACAACAGTTCACAGCACTGTAGAAGTCTTACACAGTAGAGGTCACGGTGAGTAAAGTGAAAGTCAAATCTTTAGCTACTAGTTGTCACATTAGTTGTTATTTAACGTTTATTTCAAGTGTATGTGGAGATGATGCTTTAGACTCCATTGTACCGGAAACAGCTGTAAAACTAGTTACGGCAACGAGACTCTGTTTGTGTGTTGACTGTCAAACAAATCAGTAATGTTCTGACAACCTGGAAGTCGAACTGGGATGGCTGAGAACGCCAGTGAGTGAAAGTACAACGCAGCACAGTACAGCAACTGATAAAAGTAACGTCATAAAAACACTTGCATACAATAATACTCACTATTTCCAATAAGACAAGGGCTCCGGAGTAGGTCCTGAGTACTCCGAATCCCAGCGGGAGAGAAATATCAGGCGCCGGGAAAGAGGTGGCGGCTGGATTAGCGGCTGGTTCCGACATCTTTTTTATCACTAACCCTCTTTTTTTTTCTCCACTTCTCTCCTCACTGTCTCCCCCTTTTCTACTCCTCTGCCTCTCAGCCCTCTGTCTCCCAGCCAACACACTCCGTTACACAAAGACAGAAGCAGAAGACGAAATTCCTGGGGAGTCATGTGTCCTCGAACAGGTCGGACAGGTGCAAGGGCCACTCCTTGGAGAATGAGTGCTGCGTTCAAGGACCCCTAAGAGAGCTCCGAAATCACCAGGAGAATAACAGTTAAGTGACAAACAGTGTTTAAACGAGTGATACTCTTTAAAATAACCATATGTAGATGTATATATGTAATATTATCATTTAAAAACATTAGAGAGAGAGAACATTAAGTATATTTGGTAAATTAAAGGAAAAAAAAGGAAATGAAATTCTGGGTCACTCATGATAATGACATCTATACTTTTTTTTTAATTTCATCTCCCAATTCTTTCTATTCTATTCTTTAATAGTTTGTGTTAAAATCTATAAAAAACACAAAAAGTCAAGTAAGTTGTTTCCCCAACAGTTGTTTGTTCCATTGGTGATTACTGTCACACCCTAAATGTCAATTCTGCATCACCGCTGCCAGGTATGTTTAATTGTCACGCAGTAAACATTTCATTTAGAAACTCAAACAAGTTAAAGCAATGGTTTGACAGTAGCAGAATTAACATGTTGGAAGACACTGGATGGAGTGCCAAACAGAAGAGAGGCTTCTAAAGAAATCAGAGCTGAGGAACAATAAACAGCAGGCAAATCAAATAGTTGCAGTTAACTTTATAGTCACGATTCATTAACAAATTCCTGAAGTCCTAGAAACAATACTTTGAGTGCATGTTTAATGGTTAACCTTCATGGTGCAGGAGTAAAGTTATAAAGTAAATATTAGTCTGAGTGTAGGGTTAACAGAGAAACTGATTTTCAAGGAGACTCAGCAACAGTGTTTGTGTTTGAACTACAACATTTAATTATTGTGTTGGATGTAAATATACAGTCTTTCTTTTATTATATTTTTTTTTATGAAAGGAAAATAAAATTGCATTGGAGTCTCACAGTTTGGTATGGGCGCTGCCTGACACGGTTAATGTTTAGCCAAGATTTTCTTTTTATGTGAACCAATGTTGACATAACCTTTGAAAGGACACTGCACTCAGCTGGGCTCAGCATAGCTCACAGTTTTGAGTCAATATCACTTGTAAAGGACAAACGCGACGTTAGGCCTCTGTGTCAGTGACCTGCACATGTATGGATCACATTTTTGTGTTTCAGTGCTGATGCTCTGACTTCCACAGCAGTGGTCCCACAGGTCATATTGATAATACCTGTATAATTATTCAAGACAAATGAAAGATAACTTCCCACATTCCATCATTCAGTTACAATATGGTATTAACTGTGTGAAGTCAATCGTTAGCCTCTGTTACATACAGTACATGTACAGATATGGTCAAGAGAAGATTAACTGTTGAATGAGCTTAAGAATCAAATGTCTGTGTATGTGATAATTTCACTGAGACAGAGTCTGAACTTCTAAACTATTTGAGCTGAGTTTAGTTATTGATCATTTATTAACCATTTTTAATTCTAAAGCTTGTTTTTTTATTTAATTTTATAACAATTTTGCCCATTTGTTATTTCTTTCCATGTCAACCGGTATTTGCTAAATATATGGGTTACTTTTACACTATTTTTTTCAAAACTTGATTTATTTTTTGACTAATGTGTACCTTTTATTGCTATTTTTTTACTAACTAACGCCTTTTGACTAAAATAAAGGTTATTTTAGGCTCAAACTCAACTCATTTTATAAAGAGTTTTACATTTAATATAAATTGATGGCATCTTGCAAAAATGTTGAAGCATGGTTCCACTTCATCCTCTTCCCGTTCTTCCTCCTCTCCTCCTGCTCTTTGGGAACTCGCACATAAAAAACATAGTGACTTCACACTCCACGCGGGCCCATGTTCCAGTACTGAGCAGCTCCACACAGCTGGAGTTTGATGCTGCGGATTGGTTGGCAGTCAACTCTGCATCTTTACTCCACGCTGCAAAGCTGTGTAATGGGCTGGAGTCTGCATAGGTGTAGTTGATGGTTCCATTCTGGTGCCACAAAAAAAGGAGACAGTTTTCATTTTCATCATAAGAAAGGCTCTCAAAGCAAGTGGGACATAATTATTAAAGGACTAGGAAACCCTTTGATAGAAATGATTTCCTTGTTAATTTGAAGATAAATTTGAAGCCTATTACAAACGTGTTTGTCTTGAAAATGGAGATGTTTTCTAACACAAAACAACCTCATCATTAAATATTCAGCACAGTTAACAGCTGACAGCCTCCATTCACTGCATCCAATTTCACAGTGTGTTTTGTTTTTCTTTCATATACCATTGAAAGTCTGTTGTGTAGATTACAGGCCTCACACTGGGTGCATAAATCTAACAGGACAAATCCATGTGTTGTAAACATGCCCTTGCCCCAACATACAGCCAAGTGGCCTGAGGTCCATTTAGAATGTGTCTAGAAAGTTGTTTGTCCTAATTTGATTTTACCTTGCGGTAGGACTTACTGTTGACCTACCTGGACTGGACCCTGCAGGAGATGTGATATATACTATACTGACCTAGTGTATGTCAAACTGTAACACTTACAGCGTCCTTGCTTTGAGCCTGCACTCCAATGTAAACCTGTGTCAGTCCTGCCCGACTGACATAGTCTGCCATGAGACGGTTAATGTTGGTGCTTTTTGGCATGGCCAGGCTTCCTCCTCTGAGTTTACAGTTGATTGAAGCCTCTCTGAACCTCTTAGCTTCCTTCACCAGCAGATAATACCTCTCTTCAGTTTCCTTCAGCCCCAGGATAACTGAGTAAATGGTTACATTTTAAATCACGTTCACAAGAAACTCTAAGAAGAATATAATAGAAAATATAATGTTGAACGCTCACCATTTTTCAAAAACTTTACAGCCTTCGTGAGCTTTCTTGTGTTGACGTCCATCAGATCAACAACTTTCTTGTACCTCCCACAGTCACATGTTGTGCCTGTGAGTTGGATCACAACAGAGTCACATATTTTTTTAGTCCTTTGTTTGAATTACCACTATTGGGGTTTCAGAATCTTTTATTATTGTATCATTGTTAGGAGGGTTGTTGAGAAACAGTTGATTTTTTAAACTAATTTTGAATGTGTTTTCTGGCTAAATAAGATAAAGACAAATAGTAGATGAATGTCTACAGCTGAGTTAAAACATTGATAGCATGACATTATCAGAGTAGGAGTCAAATAACATAAATGATGGTGTGTAGTTAGCCCAAAGAATAGCTAAAATGTCATACAGTCACACTCACAAATAGCTACAAATTGCAAAAATTGAAAATGAAAATAGCAGAAAACTAGCTTATTGCTAACCTTTACCAAAACTGTAATCGGCAAAAACTTTTCTTTAGCTCATGGACTGGTCATTAACAAAAGCTAACCCACATACTTTAACCTTCTGTGGCAGCAGTAGACTGTCCACTTGAGTTACTTTTTCTCTTTTCCTCTTTTAAAGCAGCAGCATTTAAGCCTTCATTCATTGAATTTCATTTAAAATATATTAAAGTTACTTTATAATAGATAGATAGACAAATGTGTGTTAAGTGTTGTCATACTCCCCTTGTTTCCCTTTCAGACCCGATGATCCAGTTAAACCCACTTCACCTCTGTCACCTACAGGAAAACAGACAGGTTAACATTTTACTGTCAAATAACTATAAGTAGATAATTAAACAAAAAGACAAAAAAAAATAAACCAACCAAACAAACAAACAAAAAACAAACAACACCAAGAACAAACATCCACTTCATATAAATATAAATATTTTTGTACTTTAACTACAATGATCTATCACTAGATGGCGTTACCACACATTTCTAGGATGGCTGCACACGCTGTTGGTTCAGTTTTCTTCCTGTTGTAAATGAAATTTATTCTATTCATTTTTTTCATTTGTGATAAAAATATAAAAATTATAAATATTTTATGTAGTTTTTAATATATATATATTTTAATATTCCTAATCTGCTAATCATTGTGTTCAACTGGAAATGTAATAAAAGACGGTTCTGCATTTTGGGGAAATGTGACTCTAGTAACAAACATGACAATAGGCTACTGTTTCATAAAGAAGAACCACAACAGTAACAATTTTAATCGGAACTATTTTCGATCTCAAATCCCAGGCACAGAAAACTGTTACCAATGAAGTTAGATGCAAATATTGCGACTAATGCATGCCTTTATTTTCAACCACTTCTTTGCACTTTTCATCATTTCAGAAAATTTGAAACAATAAACGTAAGTTAAAATTCTTGTGTGTTCCAGGCTCTATCTGTCTGAAAGAATCACACAAGCCTCAAAGGTCAACTGCAGCTAACGCACTGTTTTGAGTGTCAACACGGCAGCAGTTAGAAGTGAGCGTAAACAGTTGGCCTGCAGTGTATTACGGCACGTGTACCTCTGGAGACATTTTATACTTATGGGTTTGCAAAACAGTCCCATAACCCTTGGATTAAAAGCTTTTCTTTTTGGTTGGCAGTCGGACTTTAGTCGACTTTACCATACTTTAGTCTGCAAAACTGTAGAAAGGATATGTTTGAAAACCAAGGCCACATATAGAGACCAACAGCCACGCACACAAACAATCACAATGAGTGTATATTCAGTTTAGAATACAGACAATGGAAACTTTGTACTTTGGCCACTTTTCTTTAACCTAATAAACAAAAAAATACAGGAGGATCTCACTCCAGTCAGTAGAATCATTTTTTATTTTTAAGATATGTAAAAGATAATTAAAATATGTAGTTAGTATTTATGAAAACAGAGCCAGTCAGCATCTCTTCCATCCCTCCAGGGGGTGCTGTAATTTAGTTTACTTGGCTTTGTATAACTGTGCTCCTAAAACACTGTTGTTTCATAAGAATTTAGCATCATAAATGAGTCTCTGTGGTTAATGGACACTTTATATAGATTATTATTACACAAGGTTTAAAAATGTTCAATTATCTGGCTGTAGTCCCTAACCATTAATTTCAAGATCATTAATTTCAAGATGGTTAATATGGCATCATAATATTAGTAATAATAATAAAATCATGTCTCGGTGATGTGACTGTGTCCTACTCAGAAACAGTGATACTTTGATTACAGTCATGTGTATACATGCAACAACAGTTTAAAACAATACCTGCACGTGTAGACACAAACATTTTAAAGTGTGACACAGTGCATGATCAAATGTCTATAAAAGAGAGCAGGTCTCTCTTTTATAGGCAGTAACCAAGCAGTAACCTTGAGTTAATATGTTTTTCAGGTATTTTAATAGCTGAAGCTGCTCAGAATTGAAGGGAAAATCCAAACAGTGACCTCACTCTCATTTTTTCACTTTAGAATTCTGACTCTCAGTCACTTTCGTGTGAGCATGGTGATCACAATGCAAAGTAAAAAAGGTGGAGGAGGAGCTGGAAAAGCAGGGAGAGACACTGTGGATGTAAAGGAGAGGCAGAGGAGTTCTCTGACCTGTCACATGTTCTCTATCCTCGGAGGCAGTTCTTGTAAAAGTGCAAGTGTTTAGGTCTCACATCTAAGTCTATGAAAAGTTGAGCAATTCTTATAATGTATTTCTCCAGATGGGCTGAACAGTTACTGAGACAGCTAGAAAAAAGTTTGGCATATAACATTCAAATAAATTCACGAGTTTATATAGTTCGGCAATAAATAATCCTAAATATAAAAAGTTTTACATCCATTTGATCGTAGATCTTTGTGAGTTAAAAACACAGCAGTAAAACTGCTGTTTGTCCAAAGACAACACTGGAAAAGTTGGACAAAAAATGTTATTTTATTTTTTATATAATATTTATCCCAGGAGGGAAATGTCTCTCCCGCATTCAACCCATCCGTGAAACAACCCAAAGATCACCAATGTTGGCTGGATTTTTGTATAATGAATTTTCTTCTTTTCTGATGTTGCTTACTCAACACGCCACAGTGGCTGGGTCGTGAACTGCAATCCTCTAGGCTGCAGGCTACCCCAAGAACAGCACAATATTCCAGAAAAATGTTTATGAAATGTTTAAAGCCTAATACGGGTAAAGTTAACCTTTCTGTCCTGTGGGTCCCATTTTTCCAACGTGGCCCATGTCTCCTTTTAGTCCCTTCTCTCCTGGTATTCCTGCAGATTAAGAAAGAGGGGCACGGTTGGAAAGTAGAGTAAAAGACGGAAAGAATCCACATGACACTGATTTAAAAATGACATATCTGTCAAACATGTGTCCTTTTCTCACCCAAAGAAGACCACCTTCAGCTATCCACTTCTGGTAATCCTAATGTTTTTTGTGTTTATTGTGGCTCTGACCTTGTGATTAAAGTAATCAAATCAATTGATCAAAGTAATGAGCTATGATTTCATCTCGATGTTAAAAGTCCTGTCCCTGAGCCCTCAGGATGTCTTCCATTGATTTTGCATAGTCATGCCAGGATTTTTTTTCTCCCCTTTGCCAATAAATAAACAGGAGGAAACAAATGCTGATTTCTGTGGGTACCAGCAAAAGTGAATGAGGCTGGGACTGTAGTTGTTGACGGTTTGAATGTGCATTGTTGCGGGGTATGGTTTTAAAACGTGGAAGGAAAAGCTATTATTTATTTATTACTTCTGGTGAGGATGTTGTGACTTGGTTAAGATTTTTTTGTTTGGACAGAGTTGAATCATTTTGTAGGTTTTGACCACTGACACTAAATCTAGGCCAGCTGCTAATATAGTGTTCATGTCCACGCCTTAAGAAAAAAGTAGGTTAAATTAATTTCTCTCATAATAAATAATGAATTAGCTTTAAGAAGAGAAGACACTGCTTTAATTTACACCTACAAGAAACCTGTGCATTCTCTGGTCTGTTGGTATGGAGGTTTCCTGGTGGTCTTTCTGGGTATTGCACCTTTCTCCTACAACCCAATAACATGCAGGATTAGGCTACTGAGGACCAGATTAATGAATATCCATCCATCCCATGTTAATTCACATGACCAGATTAATGAATATCCATCCATCCATTTTCATCCGCTTATCCGTTGCCGGGTCGCGGGGGCAGCAGTCGCCACCCAAATCACACTGCACCGTACCAAATCCCCAAACCTTCTTGCGGGTGGTGAGTCCACTGGAAAGTATTAACCGCCTTAACCGGGATTCGAACCTGCCCAGGAGGTGAACCCTGGGGTTCCACACCAATGACAGAGACATTGCCTCTGGGCCAAAGCGCCACTGATGAATATCCAAACATTTAATTATTAATTATATATAAAAAGAATTTTAATCATCCATGTATTTTTGTATTTTCTTTAGAAAAATAATTGCTCCATCATTGTGCAGTGATTTCCGTGGTTTCCTATCTTCAGAGGTTAATCAACTGTATTATGCTAAAGCGAACGTGATATGAGATCTGATTTCTTTAACTGTGACAATCCTTACCGATTATTTTTACTGCCTCTCTTTTGTAACTGATTAGCGTTCCTTATTGTTACATGATTACTGCCATATGTCTGGCTGCTGTGGTGGTGCTGTGTTAGGAGGGCTCAGCGAGGATCTGAGAAAGTGCTTGATGTTACAGCAAAAGTGTATAGGAGACACAACAGAGTGGGCCTGGGAGATATTGTGAACATGTCTGTGAATGTGGGAAAAGCTGCAGAGCAGACGGCGGCGTCCTGCCAACACTTGAATGAGTATTTCCTCAGGAAACTATTCAACTGGAAACTGATGGTGTTTGAAATACTATGTGATGCACTGGTGAGGCCTTTCACTATTACTACACACACTGGTTTATGTGTTCTGTGAGCATTTCACATAGATACAGTATAATGCACTTCCTAACGCCTTACACTAACCCTAATCATTACAATTATAAGATCAATCATAATCTGCATAACCTCTCAGACCCTGATTCATTGTTGGTTGTTAATCTTTTCTCCAAACTCTTTAACATTTTACATCAGAGTACCCTCCTGCAAAATGTCCCCATAAATACGTAGTACGCAATATGTCCCCACAAATGTTGCTAAAGCAGGACTGTACACACTGATCATTAGTTGTGTTATAGTTGTGTCATCCACACCTCCACGGTGCCTGTACTACACTACACTACAGTTACAATGTACATCTTCATCCACAGTTGAACCTCACATGTTACCAGGTTCTTTGGTCCACAGCTGCCCCCGTGTGGTCACACAATCATTTCAGGAATAATTCTAAATAGGTAATAAAAAGTAGTTCACACACACTCACACTTACACACATTATTTATTTCTTACTCTCTCCTGTTGATTTTATGCGCAGTGATTTGTGAGGAGTGATGGCAGATAGTGTGAGACCTAATGCACTGTCCCACTGTGGTCTATGGGAAACAATTTTCTTTTTCTGTGTAATTTTCTTTGTGAATGTCTGAGAAGCACAAATCACAGATCTAACATTTTGCCAATAAGTGAGAGTGAGTGCTTTTTTGCTGTAGGGAAGAATTGAATCCCTCGCTCTGGTGTTATTCCTTTCTTGTCCGTGCAGCAGTTGATGAATGTTGTTCCTGCGGTGCTGGTGCCTGCCAGTTAAACTGTCTCTCCAAACGTCCAGATAACACGTCTTCCTATCACTGCATTCACCCCTTATAAAGACCAACCCCTCCAACTGGTTTAACGTCTGTGTTCTCCAGCTGCTGCAGGACAAAGAAGATGAAAGACTCTGGTTTTCTTTTCAGTCATAATTATGAACTTCTCCTTAAAATTATAATTACAAATTGAATACGATTTTATTCTGTCTGTTTTTTAACGGTGTTTACTTAAGCCTTTCGACTTTCAATACCTGCATTTCTGCTGTTTACTGACTTTAGTGGACAGTGGAAACAGACCAGGGCAACAAGAAACACAGGCCTGGAGCCAGATTTTCTGTTTGTGTACACGTGCTTTACTTCCAGTTGCCCCAACAGGTTCTTCACCAGGATTAGGAATATTGTACAGGCTCCGCTAATGGGAACAGTGAAACTCTACCCACAACAGCAGCTTTGAATTAAGCGAAATTAACGAATATAAAAATCAAACTCGGTTGTTTTGTTGATGTTAATAACCCCAGAGCAACAAATTTCCCACTGGAGCATTAATGGTCACGTATTCCCTTTTAAAATTCCATAATTTAGAAACAAGTTTCCTGTAAAAGGGCCTAAATTAAGACTGGGGAACACATGCGTCATTTGCAGAGCTGCTGACATCCTGCACTTTCAGAATCATTACGAGTGTGTGCATGTCTACAGAAAGCATATACACCAAAACCCCATAATGACCGGGTTTGTCGGATGGTTGAAAAATATCCGCGAAGTTGTTGAAATGCTATGATATACATTCTTCTTTTTCCCCCCACTTTTTCTCCTTTCACACAGTCTGTCAGAAGTGTGTGTCTGTTGTTGTGATGTCTGTGAATGCAGGTGTGTGTAAACAAACCACTGCAGGAAAACAGTAGGCAGACAGGGAGAAGTGGGGTTTTTTAAAGACGCGTCTTGTGTTTTTGGAGTTTTATTTACATTTATTTTCTACGTTTTATATTAATTTGCAGAGAGTAAATGAAATACTAGTTGAAATTAAATTTTTTTTATGAGCAACATTGTCAGTTTTACCGACAAAAACGTACACATTTAGGATACTGTGATACTAATATAGGGTCCTCAGTTTACGACGTCCTCAACCTACGGGGTTTTGTGGTCATGCCATGAATTTTTTGAGAAAGTCTTGTTCCATCATTATGACATGCGGTGTTTAAACAGAGTGCATTTTTGGGAACTTCATGCCCTTTTTGCCCTTCATTCTGATGTTTTTATGTCCTGGATTATGATGTTACCACTGTGTTAGCGTAGATGAGTGACAGGTAACATCGTGCCATAGGAACAGAATTCCAAAGAACAGATTTCAGGTGTCATTTAAAAAAAAAAAGTTCTGAAATCAAATATCATAGTACTTTGGCTTTTACTTTGAAAAACCAGGCATTTGAACTACAAAGTGTAGACTTTTATATCCACAGGAGTGTTAATGACTGCTCTTCTTCACAGAGAGTAACAAGTGTGTGCGTGTGTGTGTGTGTGTGTCTGTGCAGCAAGGGCAAGTGTCCAGAGCAGGAAAAAGCAACAGCTGCTGCCAGGGCAAAGCTGTGGGGAAACTTAGAGCACAGGAAGTCAGACTTGAAGTCAGACAGTAAAGCAAACCAAAATATTCTTGAGCCAAAGAGGATGAGGTTCTTCTTTTGCATGTGATGGCATTTGGATGTCATACTAACCAGTGTCTGTTTCCCCCTCTGGCTCTCCCTGGGGCCTCTGCACTTGTTGGAAACAACAAATGAGTTTTCGGGAATTTCAGTTTTCAATCTCTTTCAAAACCGAATTGGCCTTTTAACTAGAATAGGTAGTATTCTGAATGACTAATTCATGAATACATTTCCTGAATGCAAAGTTTCATTCTTTGGTTTTGTTGTATCATTACACATAAAATATTTTTTTTATTATAACAGTCTTTTCAGTTAGTGTGAAATATTGGACCTTTTGCCTCTTGTCATATATTGTTATACTTCCCAGTCAATAGTTGTGTTAGGACTGAATACCTTGAAGTCCTGGTCGTCCATTTTTCCCAAGTATCCCCTGATCTCCCTCCTCTCCAACCTCACCGTTGTCTCCTTTGTTAGAAAAAAAAAAGAGAAAAATAAAAAGAACAGTTAAGGAAAGTCACTCACAAATCCACAGTGACTGACACTGGTGTTTTCTCCTTATCTCCTGTCAGGAAAATAGAAAAACAAAAATGAAATTTGGCCTACGGTAAGTTGACCAGTGGCAGTGAATTCTCTTTCCCAGGATGGAAAGAGTTAAATGTGGACATTCCCACTGCCATGGATGGATACTATTGCACAATGCTTTGGAAAGTGGGTGTGTATGGACGTGATCCAGTGCAGGTCAGTTTGCGGATTTGGATGCAACTCCTCCATTGAGGCCGAGTTAAATCAGAATCATTTGTAGATATAGTTTCACTCTTGTTATTCCACTTTAAAAGCCTTTATGTCATTCCAGGACAGAATCCCTTTTCAAAGTACCAATAATGTTGTAGTATTAAGGACGTGACACGGGTTTAGGAGTTAAAAGTATAAGTAAGGTGAAGGAGAGATTCTGCTGGAGGGTCCAACAAACTGGAGCTGACACACAGCAGATGGTCTGAGTTCTGTTTAAAGATGTACTGTGGTTTTACTCTGAAACTTAGTACTCAGAAATCATGTATTGCTACAAAAATGTTAGGAAATGACTAAATGAGAAATCAGTCATCACAATTGCAATAGTGTGGCTGAGCGTGTGTGACGCTGTGGTCATTACTGGTTAGACGTTTGAAATGTGCTTTGTAGAGGCAAATTATATTTCTATGTTATTCCATCAGTTGTCAGTAGCATGGCTTTTGTAGATCTAAAGTAGATATTTTCAACTGGCCTGCCTGCGGTCCAGATCCGTCCGCTATCGATAATGTTGCGATTGTAGGATTCGAGTTTCTGCTGCATTTATTTATTTATTTAAAGCATACAGATTTTTGAAACATTTGTTTTATGATGAAAACAAAGAAAACTGCTTCAGCCAAGTTCTTTGGACATTCTTGGGGTGAACGGCTTGTCTAACACCCACAAAGATACACAGCCATGACAATATCTACGTTCACCGACTCTGAGGTCAGTGTCTGGATAAGTCTTGTATAAATAATCAGTTGAGTTTAGTGGCAGCTGTCTAAATACACACAGTCACAATGGGACTTTCTTCAAGTTCAGAATCTTTGGTTAGGAGATGACAAATATGCAGTACCCAGAGACTGTACTGTATGTGAGGATTTTTGGAAGCACTGCCCTCATGACCTCTGGATCATATACCTCTGGAAATACTTTTCAAGTAGAAGTGCCGCGGTGGTGAGTGTCTGTGACTGTCTGCAGATCGGAATAGTCAAATTTCCGTTCAAAGGAAATATGTTGAAATCATTTTGATCCCCATTTATTTCCTCCTTACTCTACAGCCCATTCTTAAAGCTCTGTTTCCCAGTAGTTTTCTTCCTAGTAAGAGACAATGAGTTCTAGCCCAGCAGCGGTTTTTATTAAGTATGTCTGTCTGAAACAGCAGGGGAACCAGCTACTGGATGTCATAAAATGAAAAACACATATGGGGAGGCTTTCCCTCCAACAGCCCGAGGCCCAGCAGACTGCAGGCTTATAAACTCCGGGCGATTACATGCTCGGTACCTTCATCATCAGCTCTGTAAATCCTGCAGCTTCTTAGAAGGGTTTCCTTCACTCATTTTTCCCACTCTTTCTATCAAATGAACTGAAGGTAGCAGAGCCAAAGTATTGTAATGAAACGTGTAGAGAAACACGCCTTTAGCATCATTTGTCAAAACCAAACAAAAGAACGAGGCCATCCAAGAAACAGTGGTGAGCAACGGACCACAACTATAAACCCAGAATTTACGTTATTAGTAAAGTACTAGAATTAATTGCCTTTTTTTATGATCTGCAGCACAGTTTACAGAAAATACTCACACTCACTCACATACAGGGATGCCTTACCTTTAGCTCCAGGCAGCAGGGAATTGGTGCAGACCTCTGGGGAGGCAGAGACGGAGCTGAGAGCGGCCACACACACACACAGCACCGTCAGCCTCCTGCTGCATCTTTTCTCCATCATGGACCAGAATTCTTCAACTTTACATTTGTTTAAGCAGAAACGAATACTAGTTGCTAATGTTTCGGCTTGAAAATAAAAGCCAGTAAAAGACGGGAGAGTCGGTGTTGCACTAATGAGTGAAAGCACTCCACTGGAGAACTCACTCACATTTGTTGACAGAGTGTTATCAGTTACTTGTCACAGTGAGACACTAAACAGACTCCTGCATTCTTTGGTATCTCTTTGCCTTGAAAATGTTATTTTAGGGGTTTTTTTCTTTCTCATAAGTGATTCATATTTCTAAAGTCTAAACTTCCTTTACTTGTGTTTTTGATCAAATATATTTTAATCTATATCTGATGTTTATCTTGTGGTACAAATTTTAGTGACTTTCAGCTAACTGTTGGCTCACAGTTTTTTCAAATAATTAATGCTAAAGGCTTATTCTTAACAAAGGTATTACAATATTATTATTACAAAATGGTCTGATAACCTCTAGCAGTGTCCTAAATAACTGATGTCAAGATATTGTGTGGAAACGTCTATTGATTCTTGGTAAAATGATGGTTGTACACAGCCAAATGTTTTGGCATCTTTATCATCTGTTTTGGCTAATTATCCATTGACATTAACTTGGCCATTGACATTAACTCAGCTGTTTTTATGCCACTTCTTATTTAAGCATTTTATTGTCTTTAGTTGAAGTTTTTTTTTTTTCAAGTTATCTGATGAATACTTTCATCAATTCCTGAGTTATCAGTATTTTAGTCTTTGTAATTATAGTACAGCAAACACACTTTAATTGAAAAAAGACACTATAAAAATTAAAAGCAAATCATATTATATTATAACAGCAGTGTTACATGAACACCTGAATAACCAACATAAGAACTGCTGTCTTCATTGCACCGTGTATTTTGGACTTTTTGACGAGTCAGCTAAAACTATGTAAATATTTAGCTTAGTGGAGTGTGTTTAGTAGTAAACATCCTGAAGACTGTAGTACTTAGAAATTAATTATCAGCAACAGAGCAGGAGCACAATCCCTGTCCTCCTTTAGCCTCCATTCCTCCTGTCCTTTACCCCTCCTTCGTATTACCAACAAACAGGTATGTGCAGGCACACACTTTGAAGGAATCTACTAGAATTGTAGAGTGCTGTTTGGGCACTGATTCTTGCATAATTACATCCTCTATTTTGTCACTATGTGATGAAAACAAACAGAGGCTGGAGGCATCGGAGGGGCGGGGAGTTGGGACGGAGGGTGGATGGTACAGGAGTGGAGAAGAGCAAGATATAATGAAAAAAATAGATATAAATACACAAATGAAATGATAGACGAGATACAGAGGAACAGAACAAAAAAGAATAATGCAGGCAGTGTAGTCAGAGCCAAATGTCTTGGCACGGACAGATTTCCTTTCTCTGATACTTCCACTGTCTCCACAGTAAAGGGAGGAGTTACTGTTTAAACTTAATATCATAATTCTACAACTGTAATGTTATCCTCAAACATTCATCATAGCCTGTGTACAAACTTGATTTCCAGAGTCACTGGAACATTTTTAGATAGTAAACTGACAGAAATAAATGCATAGTCCCCCCCTACATACTGTATGTAATCTCTGGACAGGACTTGTGTCAGTGGACACAGTCTGTGTTCCAATTTGTTGTCTTTGTTTGGCTAGGTTTTAGCTGTTACTAGTGGCATATTTAGTATCTGTTTTTTGATTGTTTGTTTTCCTTCACATTAACAAAGTAAAGCTTAAAACAAAAAAGAAGTAGAATTTCTGACAAAATACATTTCGTAGCCATTAAGATACAGTCGTACACTGTACTCAAACAGGACGGTGCAGAAATGATTTTGCAAATGTCCACCTACAGTCACATATATTTCTCAGTATCAACACTAAAACTGTTCCAAGATGGTCTTTTTATTCCAGCACTACTTTTATCTCACATCTTTCATTCCTTTTCACATACAACACTGTATTGTCAGGAACAACTTGGAGGGCGGCGTCCACTGAACTCTCAGGATGTTTACTAGTGTAATCTACTTTCAATCCTGTAATCCCAGTTTAATGCCAAACCTCCTTGTTAAACAGTATTGGTCACTGCGGCGCCTTTACTTCTTTCATCCTTGTTAATAACTCAGGTTAAACATGTGAATTTGGTGAAGTATATGCAGGAACTGTAGGACTGCTTTAATCAATTAGTTTGGGATTAATTCTTGTCATGTCTAAAGAAAATCCACTCACACACCCAGACATGGAAAATAAAAACTGTCCCAGTATTAATGTTTTATTTGGATCCGTCCACTATTTGCGCCGAGCTTCCAATTCTACATTTGTTCCTGCTCAGGAATGTGTTGATACAGAGACTTGTGTATATTTTGGTACAAAAGCCATTGGCCTCCTGAGCTGCTGATAACTGGCAACTCCAATATCACTCTCGTGAGTTCTTAAAGGAAGCGGCCAAATCCAGCGGCATGTGTTTGCGTGGCCAGCGCTGTGTTTTAATTGAACGTTAAAAAGTGTGTGAACCAGAAAATAGTGATGGAATGAAACCAGAAATGCTACGAGATAGCAAAGCTATAAACAAGGATGACTGTGGATCAGTGGGTTGGTGATTCACTTTACCACAAGAAGGTTGTACGTTTGGTTCTTGCTATGCAGCCATACCCAACCTTAACCCCTGAATGATGGAGGATTAGCACAAATGTAACAGTTTTACTCCTAGTTCAGGCTTGGGCACGAACACGACACTGAATAAGATCTCTGAGCGACATCTCTGAGATCTTGTGCCCTTGGATACATTTGAATGCAGCCTGAAATTGATTCTTAACTACGGCTGAACCCAAATCAGATCAAGACTTTTTGTAAACCGTACTGATAATTAGAAATGGATGGTGTGTGTGTGTGTGTTTCTGGTTAGGATGTATTTATGGGGACAATAAAAAATACTACGATTCAGGGGTTGCTAAATTTGTGGGGACATTTCACAATGTCCCACTGAGCAGTGTTTTCTCAGGTTCAAGATTTATTTAGAAATATAGTTAGGGTCAGATCAGTGTTTGAATAAGAAATAAGATTTGTTATATATTTGTAATAATTACAATAATAGGCTAAGAAGTACATAATGTATGTGTTAAGTACTCTGAAAGCCTAAAATCCAGTTTGTGTGTGTGTGTGATAGCCTTTCATTTTTCACTCTGTGAAGTCTGAAAAAGTGAAGTGAACTATATATCGGACTGACAAACACACAAACACGACCCATTTCAGACCAACCCTTCTCTGAGGCTAATTATTTACATGTGGTTTGGATTTGCTCCTCTAATTAGGAGTGTGATTCACACTCCTGGATTGAGGGTTGACTCCATGGTGAAACCACACCACAAACACCCGTGTTCACTCTGCTGCTTTAGGATGGAGCAGCATTTACAATGCTGGATTTTATTGTTTGACAACAGAGCGGGCATAAACAGCCCACTGGTGTGTCAGTGACACAAACCAGTCTCTCCTCTGAACCACATTCATTTTCTGTAGAGCCAGTAGTGTCATAATTGGCCCAGTCTGTGCACTGGAAGTGGCTGCACGGCCTGTGTTTCCTGGTATTTATTGGCAGTTCAGTCACCCGTAATCTTCTCCTTGGGAAAGCAATGAAGCGGCCTTTAAATGGCGGTGACAACCAACATTTTACGCCGTGTAATATGTCACAATTTCACTTTCCAGAAACTGAGTGAGATAATTCTTCACAATTAATCAAATGATCCTAAACGGGAATCAGTTAAGGTCATGATACAGTTTGTCCCGCAGTCAGTGAGCCATGAGCATTGGTGGTCTGAGGAGGGCTGTGAAATCCCACTGAAGTTCCTTTTATTTACTTTAACAAATGTTTCCTAAGAAACAGAGGAGGTGCTCACCCAGACATCAGTGGAGTAGGTTTATTTGTGGGGAATATTTAAAACAAAAGAAGCGGTATACTGAAGGAAGTTTATGGCTGAAATGTGCTTAGAAATTAAAATATAATTAGCAATACAATAAGGTTGATTAACAACAATTAAGAATATATATATTTATTTTTTAATACTGACTTCAATAGTAGCACACATAGTTAGAGAAGTGTGCGGCCAAAAATTCCACCCTGAGGTGAACCAGTGTTGTTCCGAAACGCACTGACTTTGATTAACAAAGAAAATTCCAGAAAGCAAAATGGACAAAAATAAACAAATCAAAAAAAAAAGAAAGAAAGAAAGAAAACACCCAATGCCAGCCTTTGCAGGGTTCTGTGATTTTTCACCACAGACCGGTTTTATACAAAGTTTTCCATGGACCGGCAGTAAGGGTGTGTGTGTGTAGGAGGAGGTCAGGAGCAAACCAAAAGACAAAGTTCATTATATATAATTTGATGATTGCTTATGAATATATATATATTGTATACATAATTAGTATTTTCTTCTGTATTATATACTTTCATTTCTATGGTTATTATATTGGGATTTCGTTACTTTGAGGGCTTACTGGTGCATGGACAAGCTTTGTAACACAAGATACATGGACTGGTACGGGTCCCCAGACCAGTGGTTTAGGACACCTGGTTTACAGTGTCAATTTAGTAGGTCAATATTTCTGGAAGATGATGTGTCAGAGGTCCTTGAACTAACCCAACACACTGACCACTTCTTACTTCCTTCTACTGCAGTGAAGGAACTACAGCAGTGACTTTTTGTAGAGGCAAATTGTGGGAATCAGTTCTGACATTAGCACTGGCGCTAAAACTTAGTTGGGAGATGTTGTATCAGCCACAAACCCAGTCCAGACAGTAGTGTTGTTGGTGGCTGAAGATCTGCTGAGAGCGATGCTGGGTGAAGAGTGATGGGCCTTTGTAAACAGCGAAGTGGTGAAGACGACAGTAAGACGATAGGCTTTGTTGCTGTGATATTAGGTAGAAAAGATCGGATGATGAAGAGCTGAAAGCTCCACTGACAGTCTAAGAATGACAGCATTTGGCAGTGGTCTTATGACGGGAACAAATCAAACCACAGCAGGCAAAGTTACCTTCTGAACTAAGTTGATTTTTATTAACTTCAAATCATGGGAAAATTGTGGGAAAATGATAACAAGAAAAACATGAATATATTAAGAATATTGTGCT